AAGAAAAAAAGAAAAAGAAACAGATTGTAATGAGTATGTATGTATAGAGACAGAGAGAAAGAGGGCAGGCAATAGAGGAAATGAAGCAAAATATTAACAATGGGAGAAATGGGTGAAGGGGATACAAGAGTTCTTTGTACTGTTCTGCCATCTTTTCTTTATATTTTAAATTATTTCAAAATGATTTTTTTCGTCTGAAAATAAAGGTGTGATATAGAACATCTACTGATAGAGCAAATGCTAATCACTTATTGCCTAAGCCCAGGAAATAGAATGAAAACCCTGGCTGAATATGTTGATTTACATACTTTCCTTTACCATACTCTGAACGGATGCATTAACAAGAAGGGCAATGTTTATGCCTATTTGGAGAACTAAGAGCATCTCAATGAACCCTCCCTTCTCTTCGTGGATTTTAAACAGGCATTTTACAGCTCAATGAGGAAAGGAATCTTGGCTTACTCATCTTTGTAGTCCCAGCCCCTAGCCCATTAATAATTTAGTCATTTTTATGTTCTTAAACAGGAATTCTACATCCAATATTGTTTCATTGAGAAAAATATAGTGACTTGAGTAGCAAGGATTTTGCTACACTGAAAGAGAAGGACTATTTATGTTAAGTTAAAATTATATGTCAGACTGAAGATAGAAAAATATCAAGGATTAACTTTCTTAGGAACTCAAGTATTAAATATCTGTTCTAGAGTTTTAAAAGCAGAAGAATGTGTAACCAGTAGTAAAAATCATTATCCTAAGAATAGCAAACTGCTAACAGTTTTGGTTAAAAATAATAATAGAATAAAATGTTTAGGACAAAAAATAAGGCTTTTGAAGAAAAGGGTTGACAGTGGAAAACCATGTTTTAAGAAACGTTGAGTTCCTGAAAAATTATTGGGCTGAACCACATCGAATTGCTGATAAAGCATATATCCTACCAATAATGAGTATGATAATTTTCAAATCTGAAAGCATACATTTTCATTGCAGAAACCAAAACTCTCCAAGGCCTTTAGTTGCCAAAATTAAACTCAAAAATTTTAAAAGATAAAAAGATGTCACATGGCTCAATACACTACCCTTCCTGAAGAATGCACACATTTTTAGTACATTTTAAAAGCTCTTGGTCCCATTGCTGAACTTGAGGGAAAAAAGGGTAAACATGCCTGAAGATCTATGTTACAGTTAACCATAACGAACTTTAGAATTAAGTGTCTTCAAAAGTTTAAACAACGACTGAAAATTACATTTTAACAGGATATAATTATCTGCTTTAGAACACAAAAGATACTAACACCTTACGAAATTAGGATTTTTCTATTCAAAGCAATATTAGAGAATTAAAAACTGTTAATGACTATACGGCAGTTTCTACCCTTTAAGGATTATAAGTCAAATCTTTTTGAGAATATTACAAGGAAAAAAACTCCAGTAATACTATACATCAGGTTCTGTATGGCTTTTTATTATTATTTGTACGTGTGTGCGCGCGCTCTTTAAATGGAGATAAAATACATTTTAGGACTATTCCAAGAATTAAATGAGATAATGTATGTATAACACTTAGCATGGTGACTGGCACAAATTAGGCCCTCAATAAATGGCATCTATCGTGCTTATTCTTATACAGAGGGTATGAAACAACCTTGCAACAGGGTCAAGTGGCTCAAAAGCCTGTAAGAGAAGTCAATAAAGGCAGATGGATAGAAATCACAGTCAAATATCTAGACTGGTAACCTCAATGAGGAAAGGAACCTTGACTAATTTACCTTTGTACATCAAGAACCTAACAAAGTGCTTGGCACACATAGTAGATGCTCAATAAAGGTTTACTGAAATGAAGTACACATGAAAGTATCTAGAAGGCTGGGTGCAGTGGCTCACACCTGTAATCCCAGCACTTTGGGAAGCCAAGGCAGGCGGATCACTTGAGGTCAGGAGTTTGAGACCAGCCTGGCCAACATGGCAAAACCTTGTCTCTACTAAAAATACAAAATTTAGCAGGGTGTGGTGGTGGGTGCCTGTAGTCCCAGCTACTCAGGAGGCTGAGGCAAGAGAATCAATTGAACCCAGGAGGCAGAGGTTGCAGTGGGCTGAGATCACACCACTGCACTGTCTTGGTGACACAGGGAGACTCCGTCTCAAAAAAAAAAAAAGTATCTGGAAAAGAAAGAAAGAGGGAAAGGAAAGAGGCAGTCTGAGTTTGTAAAATAAACTGAGAAATAACTGTCTAAAAAATAAACTGAGAATTAAACAGTCTGAAAAATAAACTGAGAATCCAAAAATTACCATTCCCTCTAAAGAAGTCACTTTGAAAAGTAAATTAAAAACCTAAGTATTTTTAGATCAATGTATAAAAACTCCCCCCAGACTGATCTCTTTAATGACTTAGTCCCCTCCCAAATGTTTTTTGGCAAATGTGTCATATATTTGAAGGAAATATTTTAAAACTTAATCTAAATAAATGTTATGTGTATCTTCAAAGGGGGAAAAATTACCCAAAACATTCAGGAATCTTTTCTAACTTCACTTCAAGGACATTCAAATTAACTTAATTCATAGTTCGTCCATCTACTTATATACGAAAATGAGCTTACACTTTTATCTACAAGCAAGTTGTAAATACACATATTTCACTTTCACAAGTTTGAGTGCATACCCCAGAAAAGAAAGAGTAAAGAAAACTCACTCTTTGAGAAGTGGGCAGTGCCACAGTAGTACAAAAGAATGGCTAACAAAACTTCCCTCCTATGTTTCAGTTGTGTGTATTACTAAGGGTGTGGCTTTTGCTTTCTGTAAAATTGGTCAGTTTCCGAATAAGAGTAGGTTGCTATAGTGGCTCCCTCCTGTGTTTCAGGAGCCACCTACCTGTTAAAGCCCTTGTTCACAGCACAGTCTGCTCAGTTTCAGAATCCTTACATATTGAAAACTCAAAATTCTCAGTGCAGTGGTCAAGGGACCAGTGGAATCGGAAAATATGACCCTCTCTTCCCCATCCTACCCCAAGGAAAAGAGAGAATCAACAAACAATTTTTTCTAAGACTTCTCCAAGGTAGCACCCATCACCTCACTATAGCACCCTACTCTGATTCAGAAACTGACCAATTTTACAGAAAGCAAAAGCCACACCCTTAATAATACACTCAACTCTGTACAGTGCTTGGTTTCTGTGCTAAGTACATTTCCAGAGAGAGAGTTGGAGCTACATCTCCTAAGCCTACTTTAAATTAACATCTGTGAACAGTGAGACGTTACAAGTCAAATCATAGCCCAAAATCAACCGCTGAAAGGAGGTTGGGTGGGGTGGAAATCATTAAATACATCCATCTTTCTTAATGAAATGACAATGCTTTTCCACAACACAAAACACCAAAGCTACCAGTTCAAACTGTACAGTAGTTTGCAGAATACCAATCTGCAGTACACAGTAAAATTATTCTTAAACTATCATTTGCTTCCTATGGTGCTCTGAAAAGTAGCAAATGCATGAAGTCAGATAAGGGCTATTGTTCAATCACTGCCAGCATTAAAATTATTTTTAAATCTAATTTCTGGAAAGTTCTGCAGTAGCAGTTTAAAAAGCGAATCAAATTCTAATGAGAAAAAAGTCTAGTTCAAAATCTGAAAATATACTTTGAAGATATTCACAATTTAAGAAGCAAGAATGTCATAGGCAGCAAGGTGTGTAACATCTGTGAGTAGCTAATACAAAAAAAGATTTCTCTGGAATTAAGAATTGAAAATAATTATCAAATACTATCTAATATGATCTTTTTAAGTCTCTTGTCTCCACTAACAAAGCAAAAGCTTCCAATACAAAGATTTTCACACCTTACACATACCCACATACTTCACAAATTAAGAACTAGATGAAAAATACTAAAATTTAAAGGTATCTAAAATACACTATTTGAAACAGCAGACTCTTTACATTTATCTATCAGACCTAATAGTAAAGATCTTCTGAAATGGATCATCATTTCAAACAAGATTGTTCGATATGCCATTCCGTGTGAATAGAGCTAGGGAGACTAATTCTCAAAACCTCCTCAGGAGATGCTTTATTACAGCTCCAGTTTCAATTTCCTGCGACTCAAATAGCTACGTACAGAAAATAGCTCATACATAAAGAGAAAAATCAGAATACAGGGGAGCGCTCCACTCTTTTGTTTTGGTGGCAGAAGCTGCGAAAATAAAGGTTCACTGGAACCATCTGCACCTATCCCCACCCATCACAGCCCTGCAGAGCACTTTTACCCATCCGTTCCTAGCCCCTCTAGCCTCTCTCTAGCCCCCGAGATCGGCAGAACCCGTGGCTTTCCACGTCTCAAAGGATGGGCGGGGGAGGCTGCGAGGAAGGACACAGATCCTTTGAGGACAGAGGGACAAGAAGATGTATCCAGATGGGGAGGATGGGACGCGTCACGGAGACCCGGAGGCTTCCAAATTCCCTGGGAGAAAGCCCTGTAGGGGAGACAGAGAATGCTGCCTGTTCAGGGGTGAGGACAGAGGGACAATGCTCCGAAACAGGAGACAGGCACACTCCTAGTAGATCCAGGAGGGCGTGAACTAGGTAGCTCTGAACTCGGAGCCCGAAATGGGTAGAGACAGCCTCAAACAGATCGGTACCGCGAAGCTGAGACTTACGGTTACTGCTCCCGCCGAAGGTAAAGGTCGGTGGACCTTGCAGCTTCGCAGTTCCGCCTCCGCCGCCCCTGCCTCTACCGCGGAGCTGATGACCTCAGGTACCCTGCCGCCCCACCCACCCCGACGGGTGCCCGTTCCTCGCCGGCCCGGGTACACCCGACAGGCGAAGGCTGATGTGGCCGACGGTGCGCACTGGCGGCCCGCGAGCAGTACTGCGAGAGCCGGAGGCGCCCGCGGCGAGGCTTAAACAGGGCGGGTGCCCCCCATCCCTCTCCGGCCGCCGCCCCGCCGCCTCACTCTGGGGAGGGGAAGAGGGGGCGGTGGCTCTTGCCTCCGCCTCGCGGTCAAGTCCGGCTCATTCTCCAGCCTTGCACGCGCTCAGCCTTGGCCGCCCTCTTCCCCTCCCCCGGCTCCGGCTCAGCTGCTGGCACCCCCGCCACCACCACCCTAGTCTCCTAAGTCGCCTGCCACGAGCCCCTGAGAGATTGCAGGTCCACCGAAAAGCAGCAGGAACGGCAGCAGCCCGGCCGCCGACCCGGAAGCTCTTCCTCCGCCAACCGCGAGGCTGCAAAGGGTGTGAACCCGGAAGCGATTGCCTAGCCACGGTAGCTGCAGGGTGGAAAGCTAAGGCCGTTGAAGACCTGGGAGCCCATAGTTTCGGGAGAGGGAGAGGGGTGAATGATGCTGAGGTGCGAGGAGAGGGAAGGACAATAAAGAGCAGGTGGGCAAGAGGGTCTCGGACTCCAGAGACCTGAGCTTTTGGGGCCGCGGGTGGGGCACCGGGTGGGGAGCGCGGGGGAACACTGCGGACGACTTAGCACCTGAGGGTTTTTCTGTCACGGGAAGCTGGGCCAGGCTGCTGTGCCTGGGAGAAGGGGAGGAGGAATGAGAAAGCGGTGACGGTCCCTGCCCCCCCTCGCCAGGTGACTGTCCCACTCATTTAGTTGAATGTAGCGGCCGGAGAGGCACTCGCGGCAGTCCGTACGGGTGGGACCTCTTGGTTTCCTTCGGGGAAACAGAAGGAGCAAGTTCGACTCCAGCGAGGAAAAACAGAGGTGGGAGACTGAACCATCTCCACATCTAGTTGCCCCAGGCAAGGAGTTATTTTCCACATTTAGTTACATAGAAACCAAAGCCACTTTTTGGGTGGAAACTCTTTGAACAAAGAGACATTTTCCCCTGGTAGTGGACGTTGATGGGTGGTGGCGCAGGAAAAAACCTCCCAGGAAGAGTGATTACGTATTTTTGTCAATGCAGGGAAAGCGATTCACAGCTTGTTATTCTAACTCACTTCTCCCTCTGACTCACTTCTTGCCTCTACACCTTTTTCCACCTTTTAAGGTTTTTTGCCTTCATCGCTTTTTCTGCATGGTGTTTTTAGAAGACTTCTCCAGAAGTCTTTTATCTCGCTAGTCTAACTCAGGATCTCAGCCTCATTATTTTCTTACTCTTCTGGAGTGCGTATGTGCCTTTACAGTTTCTGTTTGCAAACACTGTCTAGCATACTAAGAGAATATTAGCAAACCTGTTCCCTGGACACTAAATGGCAGTTGTACACCTCACCTCACCAGTCATAGTGACAACCAGAAATGCCCTCCATATTTTCCAGTGATCCCAGGTAGATGCCACCTCCCAATTAAGGACCACTTACACCACTTTCTTTGTAAGGTCTCGTTACTTAGACAGCATATTATCATTTGTGCCTAACATTTTCCAGAATAGAGTGAGCCATATAACAAAATGCCACGTTTCCTGTACTTGTTCAGTTGAACCCTCATCTCAGACTCACTCTAAACATATTGCAAACTCTAGTTATACCTTTCTCATATTTTAGCTCAAACTACTCATTTTCTATTAATTTGTATGTGTTTCTGCCTTAGCAGTTTTACCTTCCTACGTTAGTTGCTTTTGTTATTTTCCTGACTTAAGCCTTTGTTTCCTTCTTTCATGTCTCTGTAATAATGTAGATTTTAAGTAGTCAAGTTGGAATAGTTCTTGAAAATAGTTTTAAGAATATTTTGGGGACATGGTAAAACAGTATTTGGTTTAAAAACAAATACTGTAACAAAAATATTTAAAAAAATGTAACTCATAGTTATGTCATTTTAAAATCATATTTGTTTACCTTTTAAACTTTCAGAGTTCTGTGCCATAGTAAATATTCTAGAGAGGTGATGGGTATTGACAAAGTGCTTTGCTAGTAAATGTTTTCTTAACATGAGTTGACCAAGACAGGAATTGATTTGCTTTAAATTGTGTTTAGAAAACTAAGAATTACTTGATGTATCTTTTAGGTGTGTAATAGAAAAAATGGTTTCTGTAATTGTGCCCATATATCATACAGTGTATTCACAATACAATGTCTTTCTTTTTGGGGCTTGCAGTCTGAAATTCATCTGTCTCATAATTTGTAAAGGTTTATTATCTCGAAGTCATTAATCTGTGGTGAAAAGTAATTGCTAAATAGAAATTCTGAGAAGAAAAAGGCCTCATCCTTTTCACATGATGTAGGAAGGTCTGTTGCATGAGGTGGGTTTTAAGAATGATCTTATGAAAAAATTGAACTGAAAAAAATTTCATAGAGGATATAATGATAAAGAATGATATGTCCTGAAAACTTGTCACTCAATGAAATGTCTCTATCCTAATGTTTTACTGAATTTTTTCTAGTGAAATATCTGCAGGCTTTTTTTGGACCTAAATCAATGATTTTAAATTCTAAAATCAATTAAGTTTTAGAATTTAAAATAAATTTTAAAATTATTAAAATTATTTTATTTAAAATTTTTGTACAATAGTTTTAATGGTTGTTTTAATCTTAGGCTAAAGTTTATGTAGAATGCCAAAAGTTACTGTATTTTAAAAGAATTTCTTCTTAAGGTAATTTTACAATCATAAGGCACTTTTTAATTATTATTTAGGGAAGTGAATTAAAAGTTAGAGTGATATTTTCTTTTTTTAATGAATGAGAAGCTCTTATGTTGCCCAGGTTGGCTGGCCTCGAACGCACAGCCTCGGCTTCTCGAGCGCCAGGACAACTGGCCTGAGCCACCACGGCCCTGACATTTTCAATTACAGTGGAAAAAGCAGGATAAATTACTCTATCTCCTCTCAAATAACATTCAAAACACTTTCTTGAAAATGGTCTCTCTTGAGAGTTGCAGCAGTAGGGAACTCATTAAATATGAACAGATAATTTTAATACCTAATGGTTTTTTAAAAAACTGAAGAAAGTTCATCTCAACATAACCAGGAAAGAAACTCTTTGTTTAATGTTCTTTTAGAAATCTGCTGACAAATAAATGAGGAGAACCTTTAAAAAAAAAAAAAAAAAGATAAAAAATATTCAGTACAGAAAGATGCATTTTAGTGTAGCCATGGAAGAAATTAGTACTCAATGAAGAGAACTATTATACAACCAAGATTGTAGTTGAAATTCAGTCACTTGTTGGAAATTGCGCAATGGAGACTTAAAATTTAGGGAGCAAAAGATATGTGTGTACAAACACACACATACATACACATTGACTATATTTGGAATAAAAAATTTGGATTATTGCTGGGCATGGTGGCTCATGCCTGTAATCCCAGCACTTTGGGAGGTCGAGACCTGTGGCTCACTTGAGATCAGGAGTTTGAGACCAGCCTGGCCAATATGGTAAAACTCTGTCTCTACTAAAAAATGCAAAGATTAGCTGGGCGTGGTGGCACATGCCTGTAATTCCAGCTACACAGGAAGCTGAAACAGAATTGCCTGAACCCGGCAGGCAGACGTTACAGTGAGCCAAGATCGTGCCACTGCACTCCGACCTGGGTGACTGAGTGAGACCCTCTATCAAAAACAAAACAGAAATTTGAATTATCAAGGAAATTGAAAAGGGAAATGGAAAAGATTCTTAAATCACCATCAGAAAGCTTTTATCAACTGACCAATGGTTTTGGTTCTGTGATAAGCACCTCCAAAGAAAATTATATCCTGTAGCTCATCCAAATGTCTAATATCAAAGTTCTCCCTGCTAAAAGATCTGGGTTAAATGTCAGTGGATATAAAACAGCTACCATATCCAGCTTCCAAACTGTTAACAGTATAACTAACATTCACCTTTGTAATTTATGGAAAAAGTGTATATTATTATGAATTACTACTTTGTCATTATTTACAAGATATTTTATAATCATAATCACTTTTTTTGGCCCCAAAGGCAGAAAGGCAGATTATTTTATTTTTTTATTTAAAAAAATTTTTTTTTTTTTTTTTTAAAGATGGGGTTTCACCATGATGGCCAGGCTGGTCTTGAACTTCCGACCTCAGGTGATCCACCCACCTCAGCCTCCCAAAGTGCTAGGATTACAGTCGTGAGCCACCACACCCAGCGAAAGGCAGATTCTTACTATGCAGTTAACACCTATGAAAATGTATATCCCTATTTTAAAAGGAAAAAAAGGAATACAAAGGAAATCTTAAATTATAAGCTAAGGTTTTGAGTAGTTGAACAGTAGAGATACAATCAAAGTCATTTCTGGCTTGCCTTTTAGGCACTATATATTCCAGGATAAAGAACATTTTATTTATTTTTATTTTTTTCAGCATGATTATGTGGAAATAAAAGTTTTCAATTTAAGATGCATTACTTTGTTTTTTATCTTGCCATCAGATGTGTCATCTAATCTTTCAAGGGATTTTTTTATTTTTTTTATAAAGCAATGGGAAATCCAGAAAACATAGAAGATGCATATGTTGCTGTTATTCGTCCAAAGAATACTGCCAGTCTCAATTCTCGGGAATACAGAGCTAAGTCATATGAAGTAAGAACATTTAATAATAATTTATTTCTACCATTGAATGTCATTCTGTATTATCATTCACATGTAAAGCTTTATATCTTGTAAATTCTTATTAACAAGCCAATTATTTTAGGTCCTGCCCATTATTTTGTCTATTTTCTGCTGTGTGCCTTTTGACCATTTGCTGTTTGTTGACATGTAGGTTATGAGATCTTAAAGGTCTTGTTTGAGGTTTTCTTAGAATATATAGTTTTCAATTTTAATACAATTTATGAAATGCCTATCAAAAATTAAAAAACCACTGCAAAAGTCAGCTCACTTAAAATTTCAATCAAACTTAGTTTTTGTTTATTTTCCCAACTATTTTTAACAATTCATTTTAAAATACCTTTTTGCCTTAAATTAAGTTTTAGACAATTAAGTTACTTTTCTGTAGTCTTGAATTTATTAGTAAACATGTAATTAAGACTATATGTACATACATATATATAACTGAATTATCTTTTTTATGCAACAGATTTCAAGCAATATGAAATATTTCTAACTTAATTTATCTAGCATTTTCTTTAAACTGCTTTTTTAAGGTTGTCTGAAACCTGTTAAAGGGCACTATAGGGTTTCTCAGTAGGCTACTGCTTCAGTAGTGC